CACGTTGTGAAGACATGTATCCTGGGTCACCAACAGATTTTGTGCCAAATGTTTATCAGTCAACACATCGTCAGAGCATGGCTTTGGTTATTCATAGTGGAGTTGCTGACCCAAAACCTCCAATTATCCAGCCTTTATGTGAGTAGTTAGGTACACCGTCTACGTTCAAGTTTGAATAATTTGCAACTATTCTTACTTAGTGATTGTCTCCATTTTTGTGAAGGTGATGGGGAGCAGGGGTCTGGGGAAGAGCAGGGGTCTGGGAAAGAGCAGGGGTCTGGGAAAGTGCAGGGGACTAAAAACTATAAGACGAGGAACCAGAAGCGGAAGCATTGTGGGCCGACAATCGAAACTGGGAAAAAGCGATCATCGAGGGATTCCAAGTTTAAGGAGGAGCCCTATACAGCAGATGGCAAGGGCCAGAAAGGGAAGGGGCAGAAGGGTAAGAGAAGACAAAAGAAATAGAATGTGATTGATGCTTACTGTTAATTTCCATTCCTAGTTGCTTTGCCTCCAAAATACTTTCACAACTATTGGTGTTTTTTGTTTTGTCTTGATGAAACTGTGAAAGGTGATTTGGGTAATTTGAGACGCTTTATTTGATGTTCAATTGCTTATGAAGTTTGGGTATAGGAATCACAAAATAGTTTATATTACAATATAATACAGCTGGGCCAACAGAACATAATGCAGCTGGTCCAACTGAAACATAATAGAAGTTAGAGTATAATATTCGACATAATTGACCCGGTTGTACTTGGGACTTACTTTGCCACTAAAATACAAATTGTAATTTTGCGGATTCTCTCGTTAATAAGAAGTTGTCAAGCAAATTTGAGTATATTCAATGTAGCAAAGAGATACTACAAAATGACGGTTGGAATAAATAAAAAATTTCTTTATTTAGTGTGGGTGGCCCTGGATGCAGTTCTAGTGTGAACACGATAAATAGATACATTGTGGGGTCTCTGACATCTATAAATTGTACATAGTTGTATCTAGATGTCTTATTGTCCTCTGGCCTTCATAGTTGAACAAAATGAGATTTGGTTATTTTGAAGTTGAACCTTGAAATCCAAACTATTAATCTAGTTGTTCACATCAATGTCCACATAAGAAGAGTTATTAAGAAGTTTTTATAGGATTTATTTTGACTATGAAATTGTTTCACTTTTTTTGTCATCAATATAGGTAATCATGCCCTGATATTTCCTTGTTACACAAAGAGTGATTTGTGTAAAAACAAGCTAATGATCAAATTAAACTTATGCAGATTTGTATATATGCATTAGATTATATATTATACATTAAATATACAACTGAATATACTTTAAAGATTTTCTAAATCTTTAACTTGAGATAAATATTTCAAATCTATTGTGATAATTGCTTTTCCAAGTTCAATGCTAATGTCAGTCTATAAGTAATCATCACTTATAGATAATAATGAAATTTTCGCGTCTTTTAAGACTCAAACGTTTCATTTTCTGAATATAACTTCCACAACGATTCATTCGTCCCTGTTCACTATCTTCCCTACATATATTTCAAAATATCTCTGTGCTTCTCCACGGAAACCCTAAAAGTTTCTTTAACCATGGAACCTCATCACTACCTATCTGATTTGAATGTTCACTCAACAAGATGGTCGGTCCATGTTAAGATCTTAAGCATGTGGAAAGAACCGCTGGTGAGTGGTAGGGTTGAGACCAGAATGATCTTGGCCGACGAAAAGGTATAAAGTAACTGGCAAAGGATTGTCTACTTTCACTTTTATACAGATAGTTTATTTGGGATTGAATCACTTTTTAATGATTGTAGGCAAATAGGATCGACGCTACTATTCCAAATCGCTATTACAACTGGAATTTCCAGGGTTTTCTGAAACCAGGCCTATGGTTTCGCCTGTCTGACTTTGAGGTTCTGCGTCCTCAAGAGAAGAAAACCAGATATTGTTGCTTCCCAGTTGTAATCAAGTGCATCGCTGACACTACTATGTGGCCTATTTCTGTTGTGTGCCCTTACATTCTAGCTAACATTCTCAGCCGGATTCTAGCTAACATTCTCAGCCGGATTGGCGAACAAGGTTTTCGTTTGCTAGGTCCATTCATTGCTGCAGGACCCACTATGAAGGAGGCAGTTTACTCAAGGGAGGGCTTACAAAAGGCTGATCTAAGTGAATTTATCTACAATGGTGAGCTAGCAGCTGAAACCTCGATGTTTCGGCCATTCTTACTGAAGTGCTATGAGAAGGGTAACATCACGGCACTCTTTGTGGAATCTCTCCGGAGGCTGACTCAGGATGGTCCATCCCAAGACGCCCTTGATATGTTAGCTGAATCCTCTACACTAAACCTAAACGCACTCTTCGCTTTTGGGATGATGCTCCTTTGCTGTGGAGCAGTAGAAGACGGTAACTACGTCGTTGATGCCTTTCTAGATAAGGTGACTGACCTAACCGAAGGTTTCCTCATAGCAGATCAGGTCGAGCTACAGATCAAATCAATGGGGGCATCCGGTGCTTGTGTTTTCTACCGGTATTTTAATTTAGATCAACTCGGTCCGATTTGCAAGTTAGTCCATCCTCCAAGTTTTGATATTTGCGAACATTGCTTTGCCTTTAATTACGCAGTTAGGTTTCTTAATATGTGTTAAACTCCGATGAAAACAAGTACCTGAATTATTAGTCTTGTTATTTAATGCCACTACTCTGTCCTATTGTTCTGTTTCAAAACTCTGTCACTTAAACCCTTATTATTATGTTGTAATGTTATCTCATAATAAGCTTTAATAACCTTGTTTCTCAATTATGAAAGAAATATCTCTAACAAATAGATACTAGTTTGTTCTCCCTATTAAGGGTTTAGTAGGTTTCATGACAAAATACTAGAACCAAAGTAGAACTCTACACCTACAAAATACTAGAAACATAAAACAGTGTCATGTTTACAATGGTGCATACTCTAATTGGTAAGATTCCGAGTATGCATTCTTGTAAAGTTGCACACGGCACACACTACATGTTAACTCTAGATTAAGAAGGGTCATTCTGGGAGATGAACTCTACACCTACGGTGTCAACACCAAGAGGGTCTTTAATTTGGATGAAACAATCGGAATCTGGGACCTCATCAAACAACTCTGTAGCAAGCTTCAACCGAATACCAGGCATGGCTGAATCGCACAAACCCTCAAAGCTAATACCAATGGCCAGACACTCTATGAATTTGACAGAATATACGCCACAGTCTCCTGTTTGAAAGTTTTGGGGAGCTGTTTTTACCCTGTAGATGGAGAAGGCTGAAGCACCAAGTTTTTTTCTCTCTTCCACATGTTCCATAGCTTGAATCAATGCAGGTATCATCCTAGTGAACTGCCTGCAAGCTTCGTAAATTTCCACATCAGTGTAGCAGGACACGATGCTATCATACACTTTGATCCTCCGCCTCATTAAATTTATCTCCAGAGCTACCCAATGATCTTTCCCAATGTTGTAAGGTACAGAATATCTATATCCTTTACCCACTTCTTGTATGTCTTTCCATTAGGTGGAGATTCCCCATTATACACATCAATATCTTTATCAGTAAATTTCCAATTGGAGTCTTTATCAAACTTGATGTAATCTACTGCCCACTGATTCACAAACCAGGGATCAAGGAATGCAATCCTATCAGGCAAAAATGGAGATACAGTTTGCATTGACCTTTTCCGGAGCATTTGCATGATTGGAGCCAATTGTTGTGACATCAACAAGAATGAAACACAGCGCTTAAGGTAAAATTATAGTCTTAAACACTAACATGTCTTACTTGTTAATACATTCACTTACCACATCTGTTAGCCATCCGTATTCAGGTTCTCCTTCAGGCCAATGCTCTTTTGGAATCTTGATCTTCATGTAGAACATGGCAGATGAATTCGTGGAATCCAAAGGGTTATCCCTACATATAAGAAAACAGTTAAGCTTACCTAGTGAAGGTTTACGAGTTCGAAAGTAAGGTAAATAAATGAGATTGGAACTTACAGATCATGGTCAATGAATTTTTCTAACTTATCCATCTTTTCAGGACTGACCGGTTCAAAAGGATCATAAGCTGCAGGAGAAAGGATTTTACCACTCATAATCCGTTTAACTATTGAACTCCCAACGAATGGGTCCAGCTGGGTAGAAGCAAGGTGTCTAGACCGACATGGACGATCAACATAATCTTCTTTACCACAGAGACTACCAACTTGTCTAGTCCGGCTGTTGAGTTCTTCTCTTTATCATTCTCTTCAGAATGAGACCACTCTGAGACCAAATCAGGTTTTGTTTTTTTCTTCTCAGATAAATGAGTCAACTTTGACTTTTTGGGTGATGGTGGTTCCTTTTTTATGCATCTGCCAAGGGGAGAAGTATTCTTCTTATGCAACATCGACTTAGTCATCACTCCCGCTGTAGATCCTGTATCTCTTCTATCCCAATCAGCCTCAGAGAAGGGCTTGAATTGTTTAGCAGGAGATGACGTTTCACCAATCAGATTATGTATTACAGAGTCACGCATTAACCCACCTTTTGGATCCTTTACCAAAGGTGACATGCTCCCTGAATCTTCCTCCATAAACAACTTCTTGGACGTCTTCGTTGGGTCAACACATTCTGTTGTCTTTGATTTCTTTGAACCTGCTTTCCTTTTACCCTTACCCTTTTCCTTTTCCCTCCTGACGACTACAGAAATGGGATAACCTTGTCTGCTTCTCCTGCTTATGCCATGACTAAATAAACGTAGTTCAATAATCTAGACAACAAACATTTAGTGAGATTAAACAAACATAACCATTAAAAATGCTAACATTTAAGTCTCCATTAAGCACCCAATTCTGTTTTACAAGTTCACTTTTAAAAACAATGAGTTCAGGATTCAGAAATCAGAAGTACAAAACAGACATAAACTTGGCCATTACAAATGCTAACATTTAAGTCTCCATTTACCACTCAATTATGTTTTACAAGTTCGCTTTTTAAAACAATGAGTTCAAGAATCATAAGTAAATAAAGAGACACAAGCTTGAAAAATGTGACTCCCAAAGCAACTAACTTGCGGTTTTCTGCATACATAAAACAGGCTCTTTGTGAAAAATTTGAGAGTATATTTACCTCATATGCTTCCTAATTAAATAGAGGATGTACCCATCATACCTCAGAGTTGGTTCCTGTGCCTTCTTCTGAACCATTTGCAGAATCTTCTTCGATCTCATCATTCTTCTCTTCTGCCTTGTTCCTCAGCTTCTCCACATCATCCTGCAGATCTGTCACACTCTTCTTCAGCCCTTCGCATTTTAGGTCTACTTTCTCAAGCCCAGCCACGAAATTGGTGTTCAATGTTTTCATTTCTTCAGACAAACTGCCTATCATCTTAAAAAGTCTCTCCATTCCTTGTTTCTCCAGAACCTCTTCCCCACTATCATCACTCACATCTCTTAATTGCTTCCCACTATTACCTATCTTCTTTATGCGTTTCTCTGTCTCTGCTTTTCTCTTCTTAGGTGGGTCAACAAAATCATCCTCACTGTCCACTTCCTTCTTCCTCTTTCCAGTTTTCTTCCCAATCTCCGGGTCACCAAAACCACTTTCTTTTAAACCACCATTAATAATATCATGCAGGAGATTATCCACCAGCTTATTAGCACCTACACCTTCCCCATACACAGCATTCTCTCCAGGCCAAACAGGATAAATCTCTTCCACAGGCCTCACCACTAAATGCTGCACCTTGATCTACATGAGAAGGACATAAATAAGCTATTTAACTGTTATGACTACATATGGGTAATGAAAGTTGAGGAGAACAAACATACCTTCTTCTTTCTCAGTTTCTCTGTCTCAAAGAAATTTTTTAAACAGATTCTTGGACGACCACCATTCCATTGCAAGAGAGGCACTGGTTCTGGTTCATCTTCATCGCCATCACCATCATCCGGTACTTGGTTCCCATGTGATTTCACAAGATGTGGAATACTGTCAAATGCCCATATATTCAGGACATGCGGACAGCCATGGATAGCATATGAAGTTCTATCATAACTCAAAACTTTTATTGAAGTAATAAGCTCCTTAAATCCAACTCGACCCCATGGAAATCTCTCAAATGCCTCTGTGTCAAGCACTCTCTTGGCATAGTCCAAAGGAATCCTACTTGACCTAGATATCCCCAATATACCTACATGCACCACGAACAACAGACCAAGCATCTTCCTCTTTTCTAAACTCCAACTCCTACAACTTTTTAATGCTGACTCCAACTCATTCCAGTTCGGCCCCTTCTCTGCAGCCACCTTTATATCTCCCCAAAACTCTCTGTGGTCAACCGCCACTATGTCCTCTACATCAATTTCTGCACAATTCAAACCAGTTATGTCTTCATATTCATGAAGCGAAAACCTTATTGGACTCCCTTCAATGAGACACCAAATCTCATATGGCCTACTAATTGCCAATTGATGAGTTAACAGGTGATGCACAAGCTTTGCCCACCATACAAAAGAACTGTCAGCAAGCTTCAACAATACTCCCACTTTAGACTGATCACGTATCTGAGAGTAAGCATCTTCCCCAATCTTCTCTTTCAATCTTGCTAAACTATCCAAGGTGCAGTTAATATGCAAGCTCCTTCCCTTCATTGGTGCTTTCCATGCAGCATCAAGTCTTTTGGGGTAGCTCTTCTTCGCAATTACTGCACAAAGTACAACTTCATTATGTCTCTCTTTTGTAACTCTACTAAATATACGTACAAAGAAACTCTATCCCATATTTCTATCATTAGATTATCAACCCCGCCAAATTCAAATACATAATTTGTTACCACTACAAGAAAAATCCACATTCTTAACACGACAGAAATGCTATAATACGTCATTCATAGCGTTTTCATAAACGCTGTTTCTGCCCCAGTTATTATAGACCCCCCACATACGATAGCATTTTCGGTATGTTATGGTAAACGCCTACATACGATAGCATTTTCATACTATTGCGCTAATCAAACGCTATAATATACTTTATTGTAAACCAAATTTAGTGCTATTTTATATAATGTCGTAGATTTTTTTTTCGCTAAATACATTTAATTTGATTTATAAAATAAATTTTATATTGGAACCCAATTTTGTAAAATTTACTTAATTGAACACATATATATATATATATATAACTTTTATTACATTAACCAAACAAGTCATACATAACATCATATTAATAAGTCTTATACTAATTACTAAAATGCTGCCTATTCTTAAACAAACTAAAACTAACATCCTAAGGAGAAAATAAAAAAACTTCTTAACGCCTTCAAAATCATCATCTTCTTATACTAGCTTCTTTATACCCGTGGAATGTGTTATCTCGTAACTAAGCCTCACAACATTCTTATCACATGACGAAAACAAGTCTTTGAAACCATCCTCTCTCTCTTAACCTGTTTTACAATAAAACAAAGCAAATGAAACCAATACAGTCAACAACGTTCATGGACTGAAAGTAAACACACCTCAAATTCTGCAAATTGCTTCAAAATTTTCTTGCCAAAGCTCAGGAGCAACTCTTCCAATGGTCTCTCTAGCAAAAGACCTGCCTCCACCCTTGAAAATAATAACGCTTAAGGTAAGTCTACATAAAACCTTACCAAGAAAAAGTAGCATATAAATAAGTTAAAGAAAAGACTGAGACGCGGATAGCATCTGAAAAACTATTATCTTTTCCCCTACTCTCAATCACCTATCACACCATAGAGATTGTATCAGATTAAAAACTTTAAAATTTAGAAGGTTCTGTTGATAGCTTATGCATACCATTCTGAAGATGGTGTGAGATCTGCTACTATGAACATTCATGTTTGTCTCGCCAAAGTGCCTATTAACTGTTAATTGAACAAGACCAAGTCAATACACATTAGACATAAAAAATGTAGGAAAAAAAATACTTCTTAGTAAAGCTTTGCCTTTAAAAGCTTATCCAGAATCTATAAACATTAAAATCTGTTCAGCGTCATTAACAATTTCTTCTTTAAGACCAGCAACAAATACTCCACGTTGTACATCAATCTGTTCAGTGTCACTAACAATCATCATCTTCTTAGAAGATAAAAAACTTAGAGAAATTAATAAGCAACTTAGAATATCAGCAGCTCTTGTCTATATATATATATATATACCAAGAGAACATAAGGACATGATTTTGTGGACCAAGAGAACATAAGGACATCGAAATCATCAACATGATGAGTTAAAATGCTCTTTCAGGTTATATCAAAGAGCAAGATAAAGTTAAAGTTTTGTATAAGAGTTAAAACTCTAGCAATCTGAAATCATAGACCAACACAACAATCAATTTGAAACACATACAGAGATAACAATATCAATTCAAGCAGTTCCTGATCTTGCGAAAGATCAACACTTTACGTCAATTAAACACAACAGTCTACTCTACTTAGGATCATACTTGCATAATCAGCTTAGTGGTCCATAGAGGCAGATTATTACACTTTCATCTACTTAGGATAATACATTCTCAGTTAATATACCCAATGGAACCTAAATATAAAGAAGGGGACAATGAAGCTTAAAAACTACACGAGCTAAAGAAGAAACTAACTTACTTCCATAATGGTGAACACCAACTTTAGCAAGCATTGCGTAGTACTCAATCTCTGATCTTCTCAATGGTGGGCAATTGTGGAGATTGCAATAATCTTCCCTGTGAACAAAACCAGAATAAACAAGTGTTCGACGAAAACATTTAGGTATGCACACCAAGTGTTCGACGAAATTACCTTGGAGAAATTCCATATTGTGGTGGAGAAGAGAGAGATAAGACAAAGGAGAAAGACGGTAAGATGGTAAGAAAAAAAAAAGCAAAGAAGAGAGAGATAAGACAGAGGAGCAAGACGGAGAAGGAGAGTGAGAGAGGACGGAGAAGATGGAGAAGTAAATCAAACAATCTAACCTAATAGATCAATCGGAAATTGAGGAGAGGAGAGAGATACCTAGCTGGACTTGAGAGCGTTTTCTTCACCGGCGAGTTGGAGATTACTGGAAACAAAAACAAGCTATCACTGGCGACCAGAAAGTTGACAATCGACGGTGGACCTGATGTCGATGCTTGCACTGTTGGAAGGGAAGAGAAGTGAATGAAGGAGAGACAGCCAAAGGAGAAAGGAGAAAGGAGAAAGGAGAAAGGAGAAAGGAGAACGAGGAGAAGGAGGCAAAGAGAAAGATGAGAGAATTAGGTTACAAAGAGATGATTTTTTGGGTGAAAGGGGGAAATATGTCTTAAGTGTTGGCGGTATAGTGAATTATTTTAGTTTAGTGTAGGCGGAATAAATGATTTCATATTCCCGCTTAGGGATTTTCTATCTTAGCGTTTACTAAAAGCTGTTATAGAAAAACAAAATTTACAACTCATCTTTGATAGCAGTTGGGAAAAATGAGCTATCTTCTTGTGCTATTAATGTGGAATTTTCTTGTAGTGTACCTTCTTCTCCCATTTCTTCACTCGTTTGATCAACTAATCAATCCACCTCTTTATCCCATCGGAACATAAATCACAAAACAGAACGATTAGGTTTAAAATTATTCCAACAGCTAACTATTTCAAATCCCTCAAAAATTAATATAAGGGTTTACTAAGAAATTCTTACCACATTTGCCACCGTTAATCGCCGCCGTATCTTCGTCGTAACCTCGCCGTCGCAAATTGTACACAGATCCGTCTGTAAGTCAATTAACGATTTCTACTATAAAATCATAGCAGTTTGATACTTTTGCTAACATAATAGCAGAACAACTCAAACTCATTAATTGAAACACAACCGGATATCTTACCGGAATTTCTCCCTCAGGCCCGACCGTTGTTCCCGACACAAAAACCAAACACAAACACTCTTTTCCACTTTCTCACTCTTCTTAGTTAATCTCGATTAATGGTTCTTTTTTTAATTCTAAATGGCAAACATGTAAATAAAATAGTTAGAGAGGCTTAAAAGACTTTTGGCAACTTTTAAGTGTTATTTGAGTAAGACCCCTCTCCAGGGGTGTTATCTCAATAATTAAGTCACTTTTAAGGTATATTTGAGCACATTTTCTCATATATATATATTGTGTGTATTTTCTTAAAAATGTATTTAAATATATAGTTGGTGATTTCTTTTGTGGGATATAAATATATTGATAAATGCTATATAAAACACACCACTATATAGTTCGTGTACTTCACTATTATTAGAACTAGATTTACTCGCCCGCGCATCAAATTTTAACTGGCTACAATACAAAATGTTAAAAATAATCATAATCATTTGAATTTCAAAAACTATATATATATATATATATATATATATATATATATATATTCATACTTATTTTACAAAACAATATACAACATAGAAATTATAAAATACATTTGGTAGGTACCACGTAATAACAAAAGTTATATAAGATCAATCGGTCTCGGTAGTCATCAATGAACTTTTATCAAAAAGAGAGTTATTTCCATAAACAAATCTTGTAAGTATATTTGTCGTGATGTTTTGACATATTCGTACCTCATACTAAAAGTAAATTTGCTGAGTTTGAACATCAATTTATGAAAATGTATAAACGTAATATTCATGCCGTTTCAATAGGTTTGGAGAGCACATTTTACCTATTGAAGCAAGACCATCATACCTTAAAGAAAGTTTTGACCAAATCATGAATGTTTTTATCTTATCTATCCTACTACGCTTACATGGCTCGACGATTTAACTCGAGGTTGAATATGTTAGTCTGGTTTATAGTCTGGTTTACTAAACCAAACTATCCGATAATGCATACATATATCTGATGCTTCAAGCATTACTAAATTTCTCTTCAAACATTTTTTCGTCATCTTCTATAATGCACTTGTTCGCTACCCAACATCTACTATTCTTTTATCTTCTATGCTCACTTACATATAATAAAACTTCGCTACCCAACATCTACTATTCTTTTATCTTCTATGCTCACTTACATATAATAAAACTTTAAATTGATTCTTAATTCAAAACTATTTCCTCATTTTCATCTTCTTAGTTTATTTTTCTTTTATTAATTATATGGTTTCCACGCTTTAACGTAATATAATTTTACGAAAGATATATATTTGTTAAAATTTCTTCAACAGTATTTATTTAGATTCTTAATTACCTATATTTAAGCAACTTCACCTTTTTATTTAGAAAGCAAACAATAATATAGATATAATTATATTATTTTAATTCTTATATTTTAATATAATTTAATATTAAGATACAATTAATCTTTCTATTTTTTCGTCAATGTGAATTTATACTATTACTCTCTTGAAATATAATTTTCAATTTTAAATATGAATTATTTCTTATATCTTAAAAATCTTATACAATCATACATTTACTATAACATTTAACCATTTATTTTTTAAATATAAAAATAATATTATTTTAAATAAATTTCTTCCACTTCATTATTATCTCTTAAAGTTAATGTTTCAATGAAATATGAATATCTTTTTATTATTAAAAACAAAATACTCTTATAGTCTTCCATTTCAATTGAATTCTTTTGTTCATCCTAAATTATATTTGACGTTTTCTTATTAAACGTTTTTTTATTTTTAATAAGTTATTATTTGTTTGTAATTGTATAATAAATTTCATTAAGAATCCTTTTGTCCATCTTAAATAGCATTAGTATTTCTATGAAATTTTCATAATTATTTTTTTATTTCTTAATTAAATATTTAGGGATTATGTTCATTTTAAGTTATATATTGACAAAAAAATTAATTTTAAGTTTTTTATATGTATATATGTTACACTTGTGTTATTATTATTCAAGTAACCTTTATTTAAAATTGTGCATTAATTGATGATTACTTCTTTGATAATGAGATGTAATTAACCATAAAATTAAATATTTTGAAATAATTATTAGTGGGATCCATAATATTAATTTGGTGATGATGTGGACACCCTAAGAGGAGAAAAACTCTCCCATTATATATATAGATTATTTTGATACTAGCCCAATTCTATTTGTAACCTAAGCTGCATGGAATCGGAAGCGGGTTCGCAGAAGCGGAAGCGTTTGGAAACGCGGAAGCGTATTTTTGTAAAAATTTAGGAAGCGGGTACGTGTTGGAAGCGTATATATATATATAAATACCAAACATAAAATTATATTAGAAAAACATAGATTACAATAATGATAAAAAATAATTTTAGAATAAATTAGTTTAAAACATAAAATCATACTAGAATAAATAATTTTAGAATAAATTAGTTTCTCACACCAAATAAGAAATACTTCCCTTATGTATCTTTATTCCCTAAAATGCAGATTTAATTAAAACTAAATTCATAAATAAAAACCTAATAAAAAATTCACGTGTCATCAAAACCTAAGTGCTCCTTCTGTGTTTTACTTTCAGCCGTCGCCCGTCCGCCATAGTTTCTTCTTCCTCCCTTTTCTCAAATTTAAATTCTATCGAGTAAACTCGAAACTATACTACTTCATTTTCAGAGATTCAATTCATTTGACTTTGGCCATATCATTGGTCGCTTCCACTTCATTTTCTCAACGCTTCCAAATCGGAATCCTGCGATTCACCGACGCTTCCAAATTGTCCTTTTTCAGAACCGCGATTCCGCTGCGCTTCCGAGCGATTCCGGTCGCTCCCGATTCCGATTCCGATTCTGAAGCGGGAATCGAAGCTCCAGTGCCGCTTCCGTGTAACGTAGTTTGTAACAAAGTAAATTTGTTGTATCAAAACATACCGTGTTCTCAAAATTTGTATCGTTTAAATCTAAAACATTTCTAATACGACAATTGATTGATTATATTATACATTTATAAAAAAAGAATAAAAAAGTTAAGGACGACCAAGAAAAAAGGAAAACATTTTGGTCATTATTCATTAATAAATTTGACATCCAAAATAGGTAAATAGTTATTTTACCTAATATGGGGTCTAAAGATAAATGCAAATGAAAACTGTGAAATCTTCTTATCCGACCTCTTCTCTCTCTCCTTTTGGCTAATCACAATTAATTAGGCTTCACAATCTCTACAAATCCCTACTCTCCTCATAGTCATACATAGAAGAGAGAAAGAATACCATTAGTCATAAAATCTTTGCGTGAATCTCGCTCAGATTTTATTGTTTCCATAAGCCAAATGCAAGTAAATAACCTTTCTTAATACTCTCAACAAAAGAAAAAAAAAAAAAAGTAAATAACATTACTTTCTTCTCCATAGAAGTAAAAGAGTAAAGAAGATCATGAAGAGAACAAGAGACCTTTATGATGATGATGATTCTTCTTCTTCATCGGAATCTGAAGAGTTTCACCGGACAAAACTCCGGGTTAAGGTGAAGTTACCGGAAGAAAGAAGTGAAGATGAAGATGAGTCTCCTCAGCCGCTGAGGAAGCACTTTTGTGTGATTTGTGAGAAGCAGTTTAGCTCTGGTAAGGCTTATGGTGGTCACGTGAGGATCCACTCCACCGAGTACAATATCAAAGGAAAGATGAAGAAGACGAGGATGAAGATCATGAAGAAGAAGAGAAAGATTGGTTTGTTGAAGAAAGAGAAGGAGAAAGAGATAGATCTGATTAGGGCTGACGTGGAAGGTAAGATTAGGTGTTGTCTTTGTGGAAAAGAGTTTCAAACAATGCACTCTTTGTTTGGACATATGAGGAGACATCCTGACCGGAGTTGGAAAGGGATACGACCTCCTCCTCCACCGGAGAAGTTCAATCTAAGCTACGGTGATGATGATGATGTTGATGATGATGAGGATGAGGATGCGATGAGTAGATCCATCATGATGAGTGATGATGTACCCGAGGATGTTCAAGAAGCTGCTTGCATTCTAATGATGCTCTCTTACGCTTCAAGCAATTATTGGGCTGGGATAAAGAAAGCTATGGAATCACCCAAATCCGAGGTAAGAAGTCCGAGTTGCTACAAAGATGACAAAGGAAAAGATGAAGTTTTAGGTGATGGTGGAATGGATGATAAGAAGAGTTTAATTGTAGATATGAATATAAAGATGAAGGTGAATAGTCCTCGAGATGAAGATAAGAGGTCATTAGGGTTTGATCTCAATCAGCCTCCTTACCATGAAGATCATCCTGATTCCTGTTGGAACTAGTTTGGTTTCGCAGTTCGATTTGGATGGAATGGAGTAGATTAAGTAAGATTCAAGTTTTAACATGTTGCTCAATGAATTTACATCTATATATGCATGTCTTATCATCTCCTACATAGGCTTTTGTACATAATGAAATCCTTGTTTGGTTCTAGTTATATTTCATTGGTCTTTTTCTTCTAGCTAGTCCTTTTCTGGTCAATTTCTCTTTAAGTTTGTGACTTTTGTGTGGCTAGAATCAAGTTGTTACTTTTATCTACTGAATAAATTCATAAACAAGGTTTGAGATTTCAAGTTGTAATCAAAATTTCAAAAAAAAAAGATTTCAAGTTGTGAGAATTTTCGTAGATCGAGTAGTTCATATGCATCACCATATGATAATCTATACGGATATTCCATATGCATCTCAACTTTTCACATGTAAAGGTATCAATATCAGTGTCATAGAATAATTAAAATTTGGGTGCAAACTTAGAGATAGTAACTAAATATTATTGTTAAGATGTCAAAAATATAATTTAGTAATTTTACCTATATTAATTAGTAAGTATAAATTCAAACAACTATAAATTTGTAAAAACAATATTTCAAATGCCATAGTAACTAAATGCAAAATCTTTTTAATATCTTATCTTATTCAAAATGAAAACATATTTTCTATACATAGTGAACAAAATCTTCTCAAATATATCTAAGCGTCTAACAAAGTAACCGATACACCATTTAGAAGAAAATTGTTTTTCTACCCTATTTTTCTGGTTCCACACTAAGAGAGTAATTTTTTTTTTTTCTTATCAAAGACAATTTTATTTTCTAGAAAAAAGGCTTCTACTTCAAAATGCTAGAAGAAAAAACTATTTTATACTATGGGATCTAGGTGCAAAAAAAACAACAAAAAAAGGTATGTGATCTAAAGAATTGAGTTGAAAAGATTTTCTTCTAAATATTGCACTAGTCAAACATTAAGTTTTAAAATAAAATATTTATTCACACGTGACACAAACGAATATAAAATAATATATTTTTGTTCACACGTGATAAAAACAATAGGATTTGTTTCCTAATCATAGGAAAGACAAAAAAACATGGAAATTACTATATAGACCCTCTACAAAAAGACATTGCCACTAGTACGGATTCTGCAAGCTAGCACCTATACCCTTGCACGTCTCATGATTAAATTGTCAGTTAGTTGCAGGGCCGGTCCGGTAAAATCCGAGGCCGAATACGAAAAAAAAATTTGAGGCCTTTTAAATAAGTAAAAACTGCTAAAAAAAGTTTTTTTTTGCTAATTATGGGACATTTATAATTTTAATTTAACATTTTTTCTTAATTTTTGGACATTGTTTGCTAATTATAAGATTTTTACTAATTATGAGGCCTTCTTGGGGTTTTTTTTGTTAATTTTGAGATCTATTTTACTAATTTTGAGGCCTATTTTACTAATTGTGGGTCTTAACAAAAAAAAAAAACTCACAAAAGGGGCCTCGGAAATTTGAGGCTCAATACAAATGTTTTGTTAAAATCTGTCTAGGGCCGGGCCTGGTTAGTTGTCGTAATATAAAACAAGAAGTGGAAAAAATACTAGAGTGGATCATTATTTTTTTGCAAGGCAAAATCAGTAAGCGCTCCGATTTAGGTACGCATGATTTAGGTTGGCCTATTCGAGTTTTGGAAGTCTATGTAAAAGGAACCCAATTTTCATGCATGCAATGGACAATATGACTCTTTTCCTCGCAGCTACCACTGTTGGAACCAACGAAGCAAATACTTCGATCGTCGAGCTTGATCGACTCGAGTCTTTTCGTCTGAGCAAATACTTTCACGACTCATATACCGTGAAAATACGACCGATGGAGGTGGCCTAATTAGAGAAAGATATTAGGGCAAATTGGTAAAGGATAGTATTGTACAATAAAACCTCTATTAATTAATACTCTATAAATTAATAACCTCTTTAAAATAATAAATTCTTTCGGTCCCGAGTTGGGACCAATGTAAAATATGACATAAATCGATAAATTAATAAGATAATAATTTTTTTGAAAATTTCTTGTAAACATATGGTCCCATCTATATTATAAATTAATAATTATATAAACTTATCAATATATATATATATATATATATATATGTATATTTAACTTTATATATATATATGATATAAATTTATATATGTCATATTTGAATTACTATGATATATATTTAAAATATTATATGTAAAAAAATTAATGAAATATGACTCTATTATTCGAAAAAAAGTTTGGGTTGTTTTTTAAACTTAATAATTGGTTCTCTACTTGCAATTGGTTTAAAAAAGATATTGCTTATAAAGAAAAAAAAAAATTTTAGATAGAAATTTTTTAAGAAATTACAAAATTAGGAAAATCTTTCAATATATCGATAAATTAATACTTCTCTAAATTAATAAAATTTTCTGGTCCCAATATTATTAATTTATAGAGGTTTTACTGTTGAAATGTCTACCTTAAGTGACCAAATGTCATAAAGATGAAAAAATGTGCTATTGGGCCAATTTCTCTCTTTTTTTTAGGCCAAACTTGGGCCAATTCCCTTTTCTTTTCCCCTTATTTTGGTTTAATTGACAGGCTGATTCGTTTATAAAAAAAAAAGGTTACATATCCGATCAAAGAGGAAAAATCAGGTAGGAAGAAACAACAATGGCAACGGCTTCTCCTCCATTTATCTCAACTCTCAACTTCACTCACTCTTCTTTCAAAAATACTTCTTCTTCTTCATTTTCTCCGAAGCTTCTTCGACCCCTTTTGAGCTTTTCCGTCAAAGCTTCCAGAAAGCAAGTAGAGGTAATCCAATCTCCTCCCCAAATTCCCAGAAATCTTCCTTGAAAGGATTGATTTTTATTCTACTCCTATTGATTTATGATGGGTTCTCGATCAAATTGAATAACTTGGAATCAATTTTGGCAAAAATGACTCCTTCTTTTTCCTTCAACTTTCGATCTTAGCTCTTGTTTTTTATTGTTTTGAATTCACAATTTGAGCTTGATGGTTGTGGATGGGTCATTGTTATTGTTAGATAGTGTTTGATCCTGATGAGAGGCTTAATAAGATTGGTGATGATGTTGACAAAGAAGCTCCTTTGTCTAGGCTTAAGCTCTTCTCTCCTTGCAAGGTTTAAAGACACTTCCTTTATCTATATTTTCTTGACCAAGTCTCTTGGTTTTTACACTAAGAATCATTGGCATGTCTTTTACTGTGTAGATTAATGTTTTCTTGAGGATAACCGGAAAGCGAGAAGATGGGTTTCATGATTTAGCCTCATTGTTTCATGTAAGTTTCTTCCTCTCAGGAGTTTAAGCTTTGCTATATTTCTCATTGTCTCTTGATGTCTCCAGTGTTATGTTTCTGCATTTGATTAGGTGATTAGCTTAGGAGATACTATTAAATTCTCATTGTCACCATCGAAATCCAAAGATTGTCTGTCTACTAACGTTCAAGGAGTCCCTGTTGATGGGAGAAATCTGGTGAGACGATTTTTCGTTATTCTATTGAATAGATTATCCCCTGTGGCCTGTGGGTGAAGCATTATTCTAATCCTTCTGGTATGTGTTGTTGCAACTTCCTACTATGCAGATTATAAAAGCACTTAACCTTTACAGGAAGAAAACTGGTAGTGACAGATTCTTCTGGGTAATAACACTATACTCCAATGATTTCTTTTACTACTTTTCATTGTGAAGGTTTGAACTTATAGTCTGTCTTGATATGTAAAGATTCATTTAGACAAGAAGGTGCCTACCGGTGCTGGACTCGGTGGTGGAAGTAGTAATGCTGCAACTGCACTTTGGGCGGCAAATCAGCTCAATGGAGGTCTTGTCACTGAGAAGGAACTCCAGGATTGGTCAAGTGAAATTGGGTCAGATATTCCTTTCTTCTTCTCCCATGGAGCAGCCTATTGTACCGGGAGAGGTGAGGTATGTTTTGCTTAGAGTTTTCACTTCTTTGCAAATCCTTGTTCTGATTCAGTTCTCTTACATCCATATTAATTGTGGGCTTTGGGGGTTGTAAACATGATACAGCTTATTTTGCTGAATTCTAATCTAAAGGCTAATGCAGATTGTCCAAGACCTTCCTCCACCTTTTCCTCTTGATCTTCCGATGGTACTCATAAAGCCCCGAGAAGCATGTTCCACTGCTGAAGTGTACAAAGTAATCACTGAAACCGATTATGGATATTTTTTATTTCTAGAAGCTTTTTAGGATTTTGTGACTGAAGCTTTTATTTTTCAGCGTCTTAGTCTAGATCAGACGAGCAACATTAATCCCTTGACATTACTAAAGAATGTGACCAGCAATGGTGTATCTCAAAGCATTTGCGTAAACGATTTGGGTACTATCTATATGCATATTGTCACACCTCCCTTCCTTTCCCAAGAAGATAACATCTTTAAATTTCAAGATTCAGCGTTTTCAGTTCTTCCGTCTAGGACTTACATTCTCTACACTTTTTGACTATTCCAGAACCGCCAGCGTTTTCAGTTCTTCCTTCTCTAAAACGCTTGAAGCAACGGATAATAGCATCTGGGCGTGGGGAATATGATGCCGTATTTATGTCTGGGAGGTATGCCTTTTCTACAATTATTTTTGTTATTGCCACTTTATCGAGAAACTTCACAAAATAGTGTGCATTGCATAGGAGCTCAAATGCATCTTAACAAGCTAGTACAAGATCATATATAATGAGCTGAGTACCGTTTACTGGAATAAGAGATTATAAATGAGCTGAGTAGTTGTGCTATTTTTTGTGGGATGAATGCATAACAGTGGAAGCACAATTGTCGGTATCGGTACACCAGATCCTCCGCAATTTATATACGATGATGAAGAATACAAGAACGTGTTCTTGTCTGGTAAGCTCTTCTAGTGGTTTCTCTCTTCTGAATTTTATACATGTAAGACACTAATCCAAAGTAAACATGTTGCAGAAGCAAACTTTATGACTCGTGAGGCTAATGAATGGTACAAAGAACCTGCTTCTGCAAATGCTACTACCTCATCCTCTGAATCTCGCATGGATTTCCAATGAGATGTTACAAAGATGTAATTTTTAGAGGATTGATTTGAAGGTTTTTACTATTTTTGTTTCAAAGAGTGGTCAACTTAAAGGAGAAGATGCTTTAAATATAATTTAAAAGGAAGACATATTCACGAATAATAATTAAAGAGAGAAGCAACCACACATAAGTCATGAAACCATTCATTTTCTTGTCTTTTTTTCTTGTTTTATTACTTTCATTTCCATATGTAACTCCTCTGCTCTTACAGAGAAGGAGACACATATTGTCTAGACAAGCTAAATATATCTTTTCCTTCAAATGGTGAAGTCCAATCTTGAGAGGTAGCTGCTTGTTGTGTTTCCACGACAACACTAAGACCCGCATTCTCCATAGATACACTGTTGCTGTTGTTGACTCTACCTCCCATGGAACCATTTGGACTGTACCGGCTCATGTTTGCATCATATATGTGGCTGCTGC